TAAGAAAACCGGTAAACTCACAAATGAAGGATAATTTTTTTTTTTTTTTGTGTATTTGCCTCCTGTGGGTATTGAACTAGGGACATGCATTTGGAAACCTGGAAGTACTACCCACTGTGCTATGGACCCACAGGTTTAACAATTATATATTATTGACTATCTTGTTTTTGTTAATATTTTAATATCATCTACTTTTATTTTTAATTTATTAATAGATTTGTAAAATATACTCATTCCTTAATATGATATCAAAAAAAATATAATTAATACTTGATACTTGTTAATTATATTAATTGCAAATTGATGTATATATATATTTTTTTAAAATTAAATTAATATAATATATAATATATCATATAGTAATAATATGTAAATATTTTTTATCAATTATTTTTCACACAACCTTACAATTTCCAATCCTATTTGTAATCAATCAAGCAATTTTGTTTTGTTCAATAATATTGATAATTTTTTCTATATGATTTGTCAAGAACTTTTCAATAATACTCTTTAATAAAACATCTTCAATAGTCCAAAGATATTTATATCTATTAGATATCATTAATATGAAATTATATAATTGCCAATTTTCTGAATTTGTTCATCTATTCAAAGCAATAGTAATGTTTTCTTTTGATTATAATTCTTTTTAAATTTTTATTGTAATTATAGCTACTTTTGAATAAAAAATATTGATTGAAATTGTTATATGACAAGGTAATCATATGCTGATTGAAGTTGTTTACAAAATTCAATAAAAAATAAATAGTCTGTTACTACAAAAGGAATTGCACAAGTAACAAAAAATCTTTCCAATATTGAATTAATTATATCTTTTCTGACATTTGTTAATTTAATACTATTTATAAAATTGCTTAATGCAGATTGTTTAGAATTTAATTTGATTTTTTTATTTTTTTTTATTCTTAACAGTTTTATTAGCAACTATCTTCAAAAATTCATTTCAGATTTCAATAGAACAAAAAGTATACTTACTTGTTAAATGGTCTTTAAAAATATTTGATTTACAGAAGGTAAACAAAAGTTTATGAACAATTTTAAAAATTAAAAATTAAATTAAATTAATAGAAAATTAAATAAATAATATATATATATATATATATATATTTGAGGAATAAAGACAACTGTTAGTTTTTCATTTATTATAAGTGATTTGCCATTACAACAATATTATAAATAGCTAGATTAAACTATATCTCTCTTTCATAAGAAGAGCTTAATGCAAGGCTCAAAAATTGGCCCCTTTGTTTAAATACCTATTTAATTATCCAAGTTTTATAGCAAACTTTTTGAAACATTCTACAAATTCTTGAGTGGTACCTAGCAGAAAGCTAGGAAATTAGTGAGTACCCAAACATATGAAGGTGCTGTAACCAATATACAGGTTTGCTTCCAAGTCATGATTGAGATTTGGCATGCTTGCTTTCCAAAGTTGGCTTGATGTATAACAAGTGAAGTTAATGAAAAAAGGAATATAGATAATACTACCTTAATATATGAAGGTATTGCAGCCACTTTATGTAGGTTGACCTTCAAGTCACAAAAAGGATTTGGCATATCCATTGTTCAAATGTGACAAAAATGTTTAATGGATAGAGTTGGATTGGATTTTCATATAAGCATTGGTACCTAACCTTGCATATAAGATCTACATTGTTAAGGAATAAGTAAACATCATCACCAGCTCATTTTCAAGGGTAATTAGAATTCCTGATTTTCATGTATTGTCCTAATAGATTCTTATAAGGTGTAGTATCTAGAGATTCAGTCAATAATAGTATGCACTGGTTTTTTAGATATATTTAGTCTAGCTATCAACAAGTAAACAACGCCAGATTTGGTAATACTACGGGTAAACCCATAACAAGCGTTGCTTGTACCCCCCAACCTATCCCGGTTTATTTCGATAATAACAATCCCAAAAAAAAAATTCCATAATGCTCTGCTACTGGATTGTTATACGCAAAGCGGCTCCGCTGGAACAACAAGGTTCTCTGGCCTTCGGTCGCCGACCCTTGTCGGCCTACATGCCCTTCTGTATAGCAAACGCAATTTTAATCTAATCTGTACCAGTTGGTCACTTTTTACTGGCTTACGCTCTACATAAAGGGGGCACTTCCGCGCAGTAACTCAATAACTATATCACATATCACATTGTCAAGGGTACCCTCGCTTATATCACTTAACATATACTTTATTCATTCATATGATGTACCATAGGATCAATAGCATCAACTGCCTCATGTCCTCCTACACCATAATACATATTGAACTGACAGCTAGAAACCATCAATTGCACACCACGTGTTGTATCATCTAAGTTATAAATTAAAGGTCTCTCCATAAACACACCACACATATAAAAACGTGTACAATCTTCGACCACCATAACACCACGATTATCTTGTACCACATAATCTAAATACCGATTTATGGTGATATACTTGGACCAACTATAATTCGCTTGAAAATCATTTAAGGTCACAACAAAATTCTTTATAATATGACTATTCACAATCTTAGCTGTCACAGGATTAAAATCGGCCCTATCAACAACATCACCAAAGAACTCACGAATACGAGCTACTGGATCCTTTCCTACTTGCTTAAACTTAGGCTGTGACCACAATGCAATCCTCATGCGCAATGTCATTCCATTAGTGACAAAAACCTGATTATTTAACATCGCAGCAATAGAGACATTACGAGACACATCCACATGAATTCGTATTCCTTTAACATATACACGACGTGATGCACCAACATCAGGATTACGAACTAAAGCATTATGCAAAATATGAAATATAGTCATCGAATTCTGTACTGAATGATGTACAACCTTCGAAATTCCTATATAAGAGGATGATGAAACAAGCTTCCTAGCGACAACTGACTTCTTAACATATCCATGAGATTTATAAGACCATCTTCT